TACTGGCCCATCTAGTTCAGTATAGTTTACACCAGAGTTCCCCAAATTTGGGTTAAATTTGGACCACAATTCCAAACATTCTATGATTCTCTCCTTGCCGCCGGACACCCCCCGCCCCCTTTTTACAGCACTGGACTGCTCCAAGTGGACCCGATCCAACTGGAGGCAATATAAGGCTGCCTCAATCCAATTTGACCAAATCCCCTATCAGCCTGATTTGGTTCAGGGTCTTGGATTTAGCCAGATCTGGTGCACAGTCCTAGCTTTAACCCTTTCCCCACACCGCAGTCTAGGTCCCAGACCTGATGAAAACCAGAAATCGAGAACAAAGCTTCTCTGTTACCTTAAACGATTCCAAGAATCCTCCGTGGGCCCCATTCTCCAGCTTGTCCTCCTCTGAGCCCAAGCCTAGCATCATTTGTGTGTGGATATGGAGATCGTCATGGAGGTTGTCCAAGAGGGCGGCTCGCGTCCGGTCCTGAAACCATGTTGGGAGGCAACAATGGCTTTTAAAGGTACAACTGATCATGGACATAGTAGCAATGCATTGATAGGTTGGGTTCTCATGATGCTGTAACAGCCTCGGCAAAGAGGAATCCAGAGGCTGAAGCTGGCCTCATAGCCCCTAGAGGTGTTCCATTAGTGTGAATGGGATGGTGGCTTACTGGGAAATGATATATAATAAAATGAAAAGGATGTTTAAAATAGCGTTTGTAAAAAAAGAAGAGCAAATCAGAAGCTTTTCTTTTGGGAATTATAGGGACGGAACTACCTAAACTTTGTAGAAACTTATTTATGTATGCTACTTCAGCGGCAAGAATGTTATTTGCTCAGAAATGGAAAGAAGAAGAAGTCCCAGCAAAGTAAGAATGGAGACAAAAACTTATGGAATATGCAGAAATGGCGAAACTTACCGGAAGAAGAAGAAATCAAGATAACAAACTTTTTTATAAAAGAATGGAAATGGTTTATTGAATATTTACAGATAAACTGTAAACAGATAAAAAACATTGGCAGGATTTTTGTAATAACCTGCAGTTTTATAAGAGTATATATTTAGGGAAGATGAATAAATGAGCAAATTAAGTTAATTAGGATATGCAGAAGATGTTAAAAATAAATTTAAGGAACTGCAGAAAGAGGGGGAAGGAAGTCAAGTTTTGAGATGTCAAAATGATTTCAAAATCAGTGAAATGTATAAACCTGAAAAGTATAAATATTTTTTATTAAAATAAAAAAGAGTGACTAGGATGGTGTCCCACCAGCCTCATCCTGCCCGTCAGCTGCCTCCTGCCTGCCTGCCTTCATACTTACAACCATTCCAGGAGATGGTATCTCAATACCTTCCTCCTTGGTCTCTGTTTTCCCGTGTAGACCTCAGCAAGGAGGAGGATGGGGACAAAACTAGAAGGAGAAGGCAGGGAGACCACCAGTAAGTGGCAAAGAAGCCAATGGCCATCAGAGTCTGCTCATTTTAGTTTCATCCCTGTCCTCTTCCTCCCTGGTGAGTTCCACAAGAGGAACGCTGAGATTAAGGAGGAGGAAGAAGCTGACAGCCCATGCCAACCCCCTGGGCTGGTGGCTAGTAAGAAGTTAGGCAGGTGAGGGCTGGCAGACTGGCAGATGAGTAGGCTGAGTAGGCTTCATACCTGAAGGAGCGTCTCCACCCCCATCGTTCAGCCCGGACACAGAGGTCCAGCTCCGAGGGCCTTCTGGCGGTTCCCTCACTGCGAGAAGCCAAGTTACAGGGAACCAGGCAGAGGGCCTTCTCAGTAGTGGCACCTGCCCTGTGGAATGCTCTCCCATCAGATGTCAAGGAAGTAAACAGCTATTTGACTTTCAGAAGACATCTGAAAGCAGTCCTGTTTAGGGAAGTTTTTAATGTTTGATCTTTTATCATGTTTTTAGTATTCTGTTGGGAGCTGCCCAGAGTGGCTGGGGAAACCCAGCCAGATGAGCAGGGTATAAATATATTATTATTATTATTATTATTATTATTATTATTATTATTATTTGTAATGACCCAGCACTCCACTGGTGGAAATTTCACCTGGGACAACTAGAGAGCAGTGAAAAAGAAAGGGCTCAGGGGGTTTCAGAATCAAGAGAAACAATCAGATTTGTTTCAGGAAACTGAGCCCTCCTGTATGCAGCTCAGCCGTTAATTGGCGATAAGTATGTAATTAATAGAGCTGCAAGCTTTAATCTGCAGATGAAGCAAGATTAATCAACTAAAGCTTTTGTGGATTAATCAGTGGGAGGTAATTTTAATCAGGGAGGGCAAAGTTTAATTGGTGGGTATACGCGCGCACACACATACACACACTGCAAACCTATACACACTTCCCTGAGAAGACTGCACTCTAAGGCTCATATAACTAATATGCTAGGAATTATTTGAGCAAGTGACAGCCCTTATAATGATAGGCTACATGTGGAATTTATCAATATTTCCAGTGGTTGCTGGTTGCCATGGGGACTGATAGGGTAAAAGGCAAGAAGCCCAACAATATTTGAAAAAAATATCTGAAGAACTTAAAGGTATTTACTTGAAGAACAGAAAAGATCCTGTCTATTTGACTAGTTGGAAAAGATGTTCCCACACCCAGTCTGTATAAGCATGCCTCCAGACTGCCAGTGTGTTTCAGGTGGGCTTCAAAGCGTACTAAAACTTTTGCTCAGCTCCTTTAAGGCAAATGAAAGGGTTTAATAATAATAATAATAATAATAATAATAATAATAATAATAATACCCTGCTCATCTGGCTGGGTTACCTGGGTGCAACAAATCTATTTTTTAAAAAGAACCAGACTTTGTTGTGGTTTGCAAAGTGAAAAGGAAATGTTTTAAAAAGTGTAGGAAGAAGGAATGACTAATGGGAAGATGTTCTGCAAGGGAATCAGGATGAATGCAGAACTTGTGGTCATATAAACCGCCTCATAAACAGATCAGAAATGACCTGAATTTCCAAAGCAAGAAGTATTTGAGGTGAAGAGGTCCTCCACCTGCTAATCTGCTCCAGGTCAACCCGACTTACCTCGAGCTTTGCAAACTTGTCTGATTTGCAACAGGCGTTCTCTGCGTTGATCAGCTTGGTGAGGAGAAACTCTCGAAATTCTGAGTTCTGGAGGAGAGAAAATTAAGGAGTGGAGGAACGGCTCAGAAAGAAAGCGGGAAAGTCCACACCCATTGCATATTCTTTGGATGCAATATCCAGTGATCATGGCTACAGTTTCCAAATCCTTATTTATTTGTGTTTCTTATTACATTTATAACCTGACGTTTCTCCAAAGTGCTCAAAGTGGTGTACATGTTTGCCCCCTCCTTCCATATTAGCCTCACAGCAAATCCTGTGAGGTAGAGGTTAGGCAGAGAGACACAGAGTGCGGCCCAAGATCACCCAGTCAGCTTCATGGCCAAGCGAAGAATTTTTGAACAATGATTTTGCAGGTCCAACACTCTAACCACTACACCACACTCCCGGAGTCCCAAAGCCAAGGATTCACCGCTGCAGTAATATTATTGGCCCCTGGAGCCAGCCTATGGAATTTTGCTGCCCGAGGCAAAGGACAAGACATCACACACATCCCATCCCTCATGCAGCAGCACACTAGATTGGCAGTGAGTCTTAGAAACATTGCATAGTGTCAGGGCTGGAGTCAGCACAAAAGACGCAGGGCTCCATTGTCATGAATCTGGCTCTTTATTCGAGGAAGCAACGTACAACTCAACAACCTTTCCCAGCAGGTCTTGCCCCTTTGAAGCAGTTTCCAGGACTGAAGGTCCCTGCCTTCCTCCCTCTCTAAGGCTCCTCTTCTCCCGGATGTTTCCTAAACAGTCTCAAACTGTGTCTGCCCACCTCTGACCTCTGTTCCACCCTCCACATTACTCTGTGCATTCTTGGAGACCAGGGGAGAGAGCGGAGCTTGTCGCTGCAGGAGAAGGAGACTCCTCAAATTCTTCAGCAGCCTCTAGCCCTGCCCTCCTCTGCTTCAGCCTCAGAGTCTGAACTGCTCCCTGTCACCGGCTCTCCCTGCTCACAGAACCCTGTTGCCTCTTCAGCATCCACCCCTCCTCCCAATCTTCTCAGTGTCAGAAGCTTAAAGGGGGCGGGGAAGTTAAGTCTCTGCCATCTTACAATGGCAGACCCCATCCTGGGGTAGGGGGAGAGATAGATTTTTCCCAGTGTGTCCCACCTCCGCCAAGTCGCTGAAAATGTCCCCCTACCACTTTCATGGGAAATAAATAACTGAGAGCAGTCATTCCATCAGACTGCCTCAGTGGGAGAGGTAGAAAGCAGAGCTCCTCCCACCAGCTTTGCTGTAAAACCCCCTTCATCAGGCACCAGCTGGTCATTATGGGATGCACCAGGTTAAAAACTTGTACCTGAGTTTGATTTCCCCCTTTCTTCTCCCCCTGTCCCTTCCCCTTGTGTGAGATGGGTTGTTGTTTTTTGGGGGATTGCAAGCCTGCAAGCAGAGACTGTCTTGCTTTAATTGATTTTAAGTAAGCCACTCTGGGAGCCTTTGTGGCTGAAGAGCAGGAAACAAATTCTCTAAATCATCCTCATCAATTGTCCCTGCAGGGAAAACAAGCAGGAGGTTTATTTAGCCTGCAAACTAGTAAACGTTCCTTACTTTTTGAAATACAGAAGGGTTTGGCAGTGGAGGACCGAACGCAGGGACATCTTCTCGTGCAGTTACAGCCACCTATCCGGGATGAAGCAAAAACACATTTGAAAGCCTATATGGGGGTGGGGGGATAGGAAAGCACAGGGAATAAATGCACAAGGTCAGATATAGAAAAAACAGAGCACCCAGAATGCACACACAGAAGCACTGCCTTCAGCAGAGGCTGGTCCATTGAAACAAATAGGGCACTGCCCCACCACGTGGGGCCTTGAAGTGGAATAAGAGTGCTTTAAATATATATAGAATCATAGAGTTTGAAGGGACTGCAAGGGTCATCTAGTCCAACCCCGCTGCAATGCGGGGATCTTTTGCCCAGTGTGGGGCTCGAACCCACAACCTTGGGATTAAGAGTCTCGTGCTCTACCGACTGAACTATCCCAACTGTTTGTGGCTTAAAGGAGTGCTACGAAAACATAAAAATTAAAATAAGTAGAAATTTTAAAAAACAGAAAAACATGCAAAAACAATCAACGTCAGAATAACAAATCAGCAGCACAGGGCAATGGAGGAGGAGGTATAATGTCCCGAAACATGAAAGAGGTAAATGAAGCTGAATTGGAGGGAAGAAAAAAGAAAGAACATAAGAAGAGGCTACTGGATCAGGCCAATGTCCCATCTAGTCCAGCTTCCTGACCTCACAGTTGTCAGCCAGATGCCCCTATGGGAATCCTGCAAACAGGACATGGGTGCGAGAGAACGCTCCCCTCCTGCCGTTTCAAGAAACTGGTTTTCAGAAGTATACAGTGGTACCTCAGGTTAAGAACTTAATTTGTTCTGGAGGTCCGTTCTTAACCTGAAACTGTTCTTAACCTGAAGTACCACTTTAGCTAATGGGGCCTCCCGCTGCTGCCGCACGTTTTCTGTTCTCATCCTGAAGCAAAGTTTTTAACCCGAGGTACTATTTCTGGGTTAGCGGAGTCTGTAACCTGAAGCGTCTGTAACCCGAGGTACCACTGTAATGCCTCTGAGAGTGGAGGCGCAGCCCAGCCATTGTGGCTGGTAGCCATCAATAGCCCTCTCCTCCCTGAATTTGTCCCATCCTCTTTTAAGGCCATCGGCCGCCATCCCTCCCTCCCGTGAGAGCGAGCTCCATAGTTTAGTTAGGCGCTTCGCGCAAGTGCCCTTGGTGTTCCACAGAGAGCCATCTTAATCCACCGGGCAAACACAGGGGGCCATAAATAACCCCCGGAAGACAGAATTGATCTCTTGCTGACTGCAAATATTAACACGGCCAAAGCTGGGAGCGCAAGGAAGCGAGCGTCCTGCCGGCCACCTGCTCAGCCACCTTTGCTCGGATTGAATCTGCCCGTGCTTCAAGGACAGACATGAGAGATGCACGCGGGCTTGGCGCGCTTAATGAATTTTGCTGCAAACTCGCAGATAGGCTAATAGCTTCACCCTCTGGAGCGGCGGCAATGTGGTGAGCGCCAGCTGCCTCTCGGAGAACAAATAACCGTTTTCGAAGAGGCTTAGCAGGAACTCTTTATCTCTGGCCAAGCAGGTACACTTTACACAAGCTCCCAAAGCAGTTATTTGTCAGATCTAAAAACAGATGCAGAGAGAGAGAGAGAGAGAGAGAGAGAGAGAGAGAGAGAGAGAGGGAAGAGAAACCACCCGGTCCTCTTACTTTGTAAGATGCACTGTCTGCTTCAGGATTTTCTGCCTGCACAACAATGTAGGCATGGAGGAAATTCGAGGCAATCATGTCTGGAACAAAGGGAGTGTTTTCTTCTTGAAATATAATTGCCACAATGTCGTTGCCAATGTGTCGCTTTCTCTGAAGCTGAAAAGATTTACAAAAGGGGAAGGGTGTACATGAGGGTCCTTAAGAGTGGATGGAAACATTTTCAAATGGTGTATCTAGGTCTAGCCCTCCTTTGTAACTCTGTGGAACACTTGTTTTCCTTTCTTGGGTTTCTCCTGTAGAAAACAAGTTTGCTTCGGTCTTCCACGAGACTTGTGCGAAGTTGGCCAATCAGGCCATTGGTACCCTGGTGGAAAGCAATTCTCACCTTTTCTCGAACCCCTGGGGCACTTAATGAAGGCCAAGTCTCTCTCACAGACACAGAGAGACACAAGTTCTGCCATGGGGCTTTTAGCACCACTTGATGTTATACCCAAAGATACAAGGCCCTGTTACCTGCTGTGTGTCTCCCTCAGTGAAAGGGAGTTTGGTAGAGACGTGAAACATAATCTCTCTGTCCCTGAACACCGTGTACACGGACTCTGTGCCTGTCTGGCCGTGAGTGACATCGAGACCACCGCGAAAGCTGGAAAGAAGTAAGAATAAAACAGACCTTTGACACCAAGTACAATAATACTGATTTCACAAATGAGGGGTGGCAGGGGTGTGTGTGTGTGGGTGGGTGTGTGGGTGGGTGTGAGTGGGTGTTAGTGCAATCTTGCATGCCCAGGTTATTGACAGCTAAAAATGAAGAAATGTCTGAGATCCATGATTGGATCTCCTGCTGTTTAGGAGAAGCTGAGGCTGGATCCAAATTTGATCCAAGAAAAAGCAGAGTGGGGGCTGGCAACTCTGTCCCTCCTCAATGCCATATCCACAGTCCAATCCCCCCTCCCCAAAAAACAGAACTACTACTATTAGCCATTAAATGGAAAAGCATAGAGTTAGAGGTCTGGATTCATGGATTTCCTTGTTTTTTTATCTGTTTCCCCATTTATTTTTACCCATGTGAGTTTATTCAGAAAGAAACTGAAAGATGTTAAGGTGGGGTTAAGCCAAATCACCAATTAATTCAAGTGAAGCTTTCCCCTCTAAATCGTCACGTTACCATTGGGTTGATGGTACAGTTACTGCCATCTTGAATCTGTCAGTGAATGAACAGACATGTGCGTGTGTGCAGAGGAATCTAGAGCTGAAACATTTTTTTTCTTTTTTCATTAAAATTCAACGATGTGTTTCACATAAAATTTGACCGGGCTGGAACAAGGTGCTCCATTGTGTGAGTGTTCATATATGTTGAAAAATAAATAAAAATCCCCCTTATGGCTGCAAAATCTTGTGGAGCAGCAGAGCCCTTGGTTCATGAGTTAGCTTCTCCAAGGAAACAATATGCAGAATCTTTTTATACCACACGTATTGTGTAAAATCCAAGGCATCCTTGCAGCCCTGAGCTACAGTTCCACGGGCTGTGGCCGGGAGGAATCTAACCAAAGGTCTGAACAACAGGGGAGCAGGCATAACACGAGGTCTTTAACTACCTAGTTACCAGTTAACGAACACAATTCCTCTCAGCGCTCAATCCCAGAAAACAGAAACACGCATATACATGCAAGCAACTGTTTCTTTCTCCTACCCTTTGAAGTCCTGGAGTGTTATGGTATCTCCCAGCAAGCTCAAGAAATTTTTGAAGGCAGGGCTCTCTTCATTGTTGCCAAACAGCTCTTCTTCCTGCGTCTGTAGAGTCAAATGGACCCAGTAAGAAGCATGGTGGGAAGGTTCCTTTGTTTTTCAAGTGGGGACTGTAAGTCTAGGCCAAATTCCTCCCTCCTACACAGTTTCCAAAAATATGTTCCCTCTATAATAATAAGGGTGGATTCCCACTGCTTTCTAAAGGGTGGTGGTGAGAAATTTCTCAGACGTTTTCTTTTCTTTTTTGAGTTTTATTTATTTATTAACGTTCTTATGTTAAATCGGTAAACATTATCATATTACATCACAGGGCTTATTATAATATAATTTTCGGCATGTATACAAAGTTTATATACCTAAAGGAAAAAAACAAGGACAAAAAACTATTCCAAAATCATATATGTAACAACACTTTCGACTTCCTGTCTATCCCATTGTATATTCCTTTTTTACAAATGAATGTACTCTTATTATTGCATATTTCTTTATATTTTATCTAATACATTCCTATATCAATATGTACCCTTGGTCTTATTTCTCAACTCAGTCTCTCTCCAACGTCAATCAAATGCTAGCATAGATAGCGAACCTTTACTGTATTTTTGAACATCTCCGACGTTTTCAGGAGGGACTGTCAACACTGTTTCTTCCCAGACACTGGAAATTATTGGATGCAACAAAGAATCATAGAATTGTAGAGCTGGGAGCAGAGGTGCCAGCTTGCAAGGGTGACTTGGAGGTGTGACATCATGCATGGGACGTTGTGTGTAATGTCACATGTGTGCGACATCAGGATGTAGGGAAGAGTCAGGGTGAAGTCAAATGTGGCAGCAGCAAGGCTTTAATAGCCAATGGCTCCTCCTTCTCATCCTTCTGTCCGACTGCGTGAGGCTCTTTGACCCTCCTTCCCCTCTACGCCAGGAGGAGGAGGGAAAGGAGCTGACCATTGAAGCCGCACCGTGATTGGCTGCATCCTCAGTCTCCTCTGCCCCTTATTTTTTAGGACATTGGGGCCCCCAAAAGGGTTTGGCCCACTGGTTGGAAGGAACTCCATGCAGGATTTTAAACTTTCTTTAAAAACTCAATCTCCAGTGAAGGAGAGTCTTCCACCTTCCGTTCCACTGCTGAACAGCTCTTAGGACCCTCATACCTACGGGACTGCCCCTCCTGGTATGTCCCACGGAGGACCTTACGGTCTTCAAACAAAAACATCTTGGCGGTCCCGGGCCACAGAGGGGTTAGGCTGGCCTCAACCAGAGCCAGGGCTTTTTCAGCTGTGGCTCCGATCTGGTGGAACGCTCTGTCACAAGAGACTAGGGCCCTGCGGGACTTGACATCTTTCCGCAGGGCCTGCAAGACAGAGCTGTTCCACCAGGCCTTTGGCCAAGGCACAGCCTGACCCCCTCCTTTGGTAATTCTTCACAGAACTCTAGCCCAATGATTGCCATCAATTTGATTTGAACTGATTTTATAATGAATTGATTTTAGAATGCTGTATTATTTTACTGTTGTTAGCCGCTCTGAGCCCGCCTTCGGCTGGGGAGGGGGGGATATAAATAAAAAATTATTATTATTATTATTAGAAAGTTCTTCCTAATGTTTAGTTAGAATTTCCTTTCTTATAATTTTAATCGTTCAAGTCCTACCCTCTGGAGCAGCAGAAAACAAGCTTACACCATTCAGATATTTGAAGATGGCTATCCTATCCTCTCTCAGTCTTTTCTTCTCCAGGCTAAACATACCCAGCTCCCTCAGTCAGTCCCCATAAGGCTTGGTTTCCTGGACCCTTGATCATCTTGGTTGCCTAGAAATCTAAATGCCTAGATCATCTCAGTACCTAGAAATGCAGCACGTTCCTGGAACCCAGAGCAGGTGTGGTACAGCAGATAAAGCAAAGTGCTATCTAATAGGAAGCTTCTTGGTTTAAATCTTATCACTGCTATAGACACGCCCGTTGGCAACCATGCCTCTCTTTCTCAGCCTCCAGTCTGAAGGACAGGGATATTCGT